TTGATCATGGAGGTCATTTGACCATTCTTCAGCATGCTGGTTAGTGCGGGTTTGTGAAGGGGGCAATCGCGTAGTTTTAAAACCACCGTGCCACTGCTACCTGATTTACAAGTTACTAAAATACAGTGAAATGTTTTAGCAGTAAGATTTTCAACTAGACCAAAAATAAAGCAATACATATATAAAAGAGGAAATATAAACATTGCAGTGAATCATATTCATAGAGACTCATATGGTGTCAGCAAAGCATTGCAGTGGATACATTGGCAGAAGTTTATAAATAAGGAAACAAAATATAATAAAGCAAAAGTGGAGTGATACTCATCTCTACAAGCAGCGCTAAGCCAGTGATGGACATTCCACACTATCATGACAGAATCCACTCTCTGCAAAGGATGACCACTGTTGACTTTTTACCAAGTGGTAAATATTTTATCGATCTCAGAAGGATGATAGGCTGACTTGACCCCGACAAGGATTTTAAATTGAATTACTCAAACCAAAGTACTGTCTGGTTGGATACATGATATAAACAGACAACACTGACACAAATATACACGTAGATGTAGATAAGACACCAACAATTGCTGACGTTCAAGGATGGAAAAACACTGAATACCTGTAACACACTATGCCAATATCCCCACAATCCTAATAGCATCAATTGAGCTATTCACTCCAATAGACCATTGATTGTTACTTTGCTTTACTGCCTCATAAACAACCCCTTGGTAAGCAAACGTTTGTATCTGCTATGCTTCAGACTATATAATTAAATTCGAATTATGCATATCACAAGTAAATTCACAGCCTTATCTTTAATTGCTTTACGGCACAAATATAGGCTACCACAGCTGGCAGTAAACAATGAAAGGATTGTGGGAAGAGTGGAGGCTGTCAACCTGCTATTGTTGCACGTCTATTGTGGAACAACCAACCCGCGCAGTAAACATAGAGACCCCTTTTTATATCACTGGAGGTTGTTGGCTATGAAAATCTACGTGCCATTGTTTGGATTACTACTGAGCAATGTGTTGACGCTTAAGAGTGTTTAAAACAAACATCGATTTGCTTGAAGCTTTATTCAAATCACAAAAAAAAAGCTTGACCAAAAACAATAAAGTCCGCTGGCTTTTAGTCAATCCCAATGTGTACCATCACTCGACCACAGCATAAAACTAGGTCTACGTTCTCCGCTTTTCGTCTCTCGCTCCTTCTTTTCCATTTAGACTTTTCCCGCAATGTAACGCTTGCCCGCTACATTCAGCCACAATGCATTAGATTGAAATCGTGTCATTGTTATGCTAATGCGGCCACTGTGTATATGCGCCTGTGCTTTGTGTGCCTATGGTGATATATGTGCGCACATGCTGTGCGCGCGCGCGCGGACTGATCGTGTGTGAGTCACCTCGCGTGATGGGTGGGAGCAAGCTGGTTTTGAGCTTAGGGTTTTAAGTTTCGTGTCACATGGCTTAAAAATGCATTGTGTGTTGAGATGAGAGACGAGAAAAAAAAACGTCAGGCCAAGTACTGTACACGACAGCACTGATTACACCGTGTAACAAAAACATAGTTTTCTTCCTGGGTAGTAAGTGGTCTTTCCTCGTTGCTTATGCCTCAACAGTACAGAAAATTTCCCACACAAACTTTGCTTTTGTGACCGGGACAGTGATATTTAGAAATGTACCTATTTTCAATGAGCAAACGTGGTGTGCATTTGTGTCTTTCGTTCACATAAAGTCCTGGTCACAAAAGCAAAGTTTGTGGGGAATAATAGCCATTTTCTGTACTTTTTAGGTATAAGCAATTCCAAAATAACACCGAGTACCCAGGAACAAGAATTGTGGCACAGAGTGTGATTATGCAGCCAGCACTACCCCAGTGAAGTGCAATGGGGCTGAATGGATCACGCTGCATAATGGTGATGTTCCTTTTAGTTGTCCAATAGTCTTTGGTCAAATTACTCTCAAATGTACCTAATAGTGTGAGATTTCTTTAATGAAACAGGAATCAGCCTGGTGAGTAGTTGAATGGAGGACTGCCTGGGGATACTGGATATTGTAAGCATGGCCTGTGAGGTGACTAGGAGATGGTAGTACAGCAAATAGATTCATAAATATAACTGTGCAGAGCTTTGTGCGTTACCCCTTCGTACATGTGAGTTGTCTCTGGGTACTCCGTTGTCCTCCTATACACCAGTTATACATGTTCCAATGCAGGACAATCCTCTAATGAAAGAGTCTTGGAGCCCAGTGAGGCCTTTACAATTAAGTATGGGGCATGATTATGTATTATTCGCATTCGTACATAAAAAAGGTAAACGATACAATTGTTAATTATTATGATGTAATACTTAATAATCCATATGGTGACGTAGCCAACATACCATTCCAAAGACAACATCGATCTCACTTGGTTCTAACCAGCTCAAGTGGACCACTATAAAATAAATGAAAACTGGCACACGTAAAGCACGATCGTTTGTCTCTAATGAGGTATGTTTAAATTTAATGCATAAGACTTTTCGTTTCGTCGATTATTAAGTGGTTATATTACACTTAAAATGCTTTAACAAAAGTAATAGCCTTTGGGTCAGCATGCCGGATGACAAAGGTGCTTATCCCGAAACGATTATCAGATATCTTCCTCTCATTACAAGAGAAATGAAAGTACATTAATTATCTAGCAACAGTTGCTAGGTTACATGCTCATTTCAAGTGTTGCTTGGGTTTCCTAATGAAAACAAAAATATCTCTGTTGGAATTCAAGAGGCAGGAAGAGGGGGGGGAAAGGAGAGTTTTGCCTCTAACCCTTCCTCCCACCCACGGCTATGACACTGCACTGTTCCAAACCCTCCAGACCTTTTCATGCCCACTCGAGCGATTCTCAACACGTTAGGTCACGGGCAAGCCCCTCAGTGACCCGCAAAAAACTCGGCATAAGCACAACCGTAACAGTGAAGGGAAAATGCAAACGGTGAAAAATAGCGTTTGATTACTATTATATTTTTTTTGGTCATACGCAGCTACTAAAGCTGTTTAAAGAACACCTTTTGGATGCGTTTTGAGTTCGTTTTTCGATGTTACATTAAAATGAAGCCGAGCAGTACCTCTCAAGAAATGTTTGCGAAATGAACAGAACTTAACTTGGAATAAAACAATGAAAAAAGTGGACTGTCCTAAAATCAAGGTTTGGCTATTTATACTAATGATCGTTCATGATCAGCCATCATCGATCTACTGCTGGGTGAACATATTCCGAAACCATTGCCATCCCTCACGATCCTGTGATATGTTTTTTTTTTAATCAACGTGTTATTTTTTCTGTCTGTCGGTGAAATTCCAGCCATGCACCTCTCTGGATTTCTTTTCACACTTTTTTTTTACTTTTGTTCCCTTTTTCTTCGCCTTAATTTTGCCTGACTGAATTCATTAACATTGATTATGTTATTCACACAAGCTTTGCCCAATATGGGGATATGTCACAAGACCACGTGGGTTGTGACTTAATATATAAACCGTGGTGACATGCGGATTTGTAGCAGCCAATGTGTTTCCATCCATTTAATTAGGGCTTGCGCATCCAGTGCTCATTCATCTTGAACTACCTCTTCAAAATAATCAGATTAAGTTCTTGATGAGCATTGCAAAGGCAGATCAAGCTGTTTCTAGTATAAACACGATCCGAAAAAAAATCCATCGCGAACACGTTTTAACCAAATTCAATAGCTGGATAAAAAACATGGGTCAATAGTAACACAACGGAATCCATTCTCTGTAGTAATACAAACACCAGATGAAACAAATAATCATTGCAAAGCCTAAGGGAACCATTAACACGACCAAGAACGATGTATATCTGAAGCATAATTCACCGAAAAATACCTCTTATGGAACACGTTACTCCATAAAAAAGAGTGCAGATAGATGGCTGGACAGGTTAGTTTGAGCTCTAACATCAAACCTCATTTTATTGACAGAAAGAGATATGTTTTTGTAGTAAAATACTGATAAGAATTACTTTCTCAGATGATGTAATCACCACATTATATTTTGACCTTTCAACAAATATGTAGGAAAATGTTCAGGACGATTCTGGAGTAAAATACATTTTATCCTTCCACTTCATGGATCTGTCATAATGTATTTACACAACCAATAAAACATAATTGTTTTTAACTCTAAACATTTAAATAGAATAATATGAATGCAATTACATTAACAATGTAAATGTATTGTTCTTTTCACGCACTGGAACTTTTTATTTCTTTGTTATAACTCAAGTGAAACTCTTCTCACCTATACCTGTTATCACATACTCTGATTATCCGTGCCCACAAATTAATCCATACAAAATCCTATTGTGAGCTTCTCCACAGATAAGAGGATGCACTCAGAAGTGGCAGCAGATTAATTATATTATCTGATTCTGCGTTGATGTCATACCGTGGGAGTGATCATCCTTTTTGGAAACCTTTGTGCAGATAAACAGGAGTGACTTTGAACCAGTGGAACATTCGTCCTATTATCCATGTCCTACCACGTGAATTAAAAGGAATCATTTTCATTGATAAACACGGATAATGGGATCCACTTGTAGAAGGGCACCACGGTGGCAAGATGTTAACTACCTCGCCTGGTTGTGGGTTCGATCCCGACCCTGACGCCTGTATATTTGGAGTTTGCATGATCTCCCCGTGGTCACGTGGATGTTTCTCCAGGTCGTCCGGTTTTTTCCTCCACATTTAGAATCGGCATGCATTTAGAGCATTTGGCTGCCGTACATTTCCAAGTGATAAGCCACTTGGTTGAGCGATCATCTGCGGCGAGGTCGCTTTTGAGCAATAGTTCTATTGCTCAGTGGGCCTTACTTGGTACAAAAAATACATACATAGTTTCGTCCAGTAGCACTCCCCACATCAAATTGGATAAGTGGAGGTTCGCCGTCTGCACGCTTGGCACGGCTCAGCGCTGAGAGTGCTCGACGAACGCTTGCATTACCTGTTGCCGTTCTGCAACCTGACGCGCTCGCTCTGGTGAAGGGGCAGCCCGTTGTGCAGCCAGATGATGCGCGGACTCGGGGTGCCTTGCGCGGAGCAAGTGAGCACAGCCGACGCGCCCAGAGATCGCGTCACCGACTGGGGCGGCTGCATGAACTCCGGTGGCGCTGTGGGTTGCCGAGGCGGAACAAGGACGTGAACCGTTAAAAAGCGACCCGTTTGGTTAGTGCTCCAAAGAGATGTTAACAGTCATCAGGAACCATTGGAACCTCCTTTGCCAGTAGCAAAATATGATAATTAGTTTTTTTTACCCTTTTATCTGGCAACAAAACTGACACCTTTTGGCATCATCTGGTCCAATACCCATGTGAGACTGGGCTCTAAGGAAAGCTGTCTCGGGTGTGGATCAATCAATTTCAAGGACAGTGCATACATTATCAGAGTTATGTTTTTTGTTTGCATTCCGACCGCAGGTATTGTGGTCAATGCAACCATGCCTACTTGTAAAAAAGGTGTCAGTTTTGTTGCCAGATAAAAGGGTAAAAAACTAATTATCATAGTCATCAGGAAACTAAGGTGAGGTTAGAATGAGCGTGCTTTCAAGGGGGATTTGATGGAACAACATTCAAGGGGCGTGAACACTTACTCATGCCAAACACTCAAGTTTGCCAAACGAAAGATTCAAACAATTCTTGGAAGTTTCTGTTTGTTACTCTTATACAAACACCACTGGTAAAGGGTTGGACGTTTGTGATGATTAATGTGCATTACACCAGGATGTGTATCTGAGTTATAGCTTTAGAATCGTAAATCAGGGCTTGTGGCAAATACGCTTTCACTGCTACATTAACCACCCCAGTTCACACTAAGCAAGCAATAACACACAAAGCATAACAGATATGGCCTGTTACCATCCTGATTTCAACATTAAAATGTATGTTCATGACTACAAATTTATGAACGTGGTGAAATGTTCTCAGAAAGGGATCAACTTAAACCCAGGTAGCATTCATCACGATTTTAGTAGCCTCACAGAAATGGAGTGATTGTACGAGCCAGTGTTTATCAATCATTTATAAACGCACAATATCACGGTGTTGAAAAATGTAAGGATTCTGTAAAAAAAATACAATTGCTTTATTTCAGTGCAGCACACTGCAATTATTTTAACCTGACCCTTTCACAAACACAACGAATGATGCATTAAACCCATCCATTGCCATCAAGTCACTTTAACTTAAGGAGCACGTCTTCCCATGTGCACACTACAGCTGTGCCATTGGCAGGGTGGAGTGGGAGATAAAAGTCAGTTTCCTTTAATAGTGAGACTGGTGATTAATGTTCACATGTGGTTTAGAGTAGACACCCTGGCGTTACTTTGCAGTTTCTTTGAATAGTCCCATCCCTTCATGTGACAGGACGCAAGTGAACGCACACACACAGTATTTATCCAATGCAGGTGCATTACAAGGTTTTGTGGGCCTTGGTGCAATTGTAAAACAAAAATCCTTCAAGCTTGTACGGCAAAAACAAATGTTTTCAATGGAAACCTTATATTTCAATAGTGGTGTGTAGAGATAGGAAGCAGGAGGCATAATGTGTCTGTGGCCAGAGTACTGGGCTGACACTACTGACGACCCCGCTTCCAATCTACGCAGCCAGCCACAATTAAATCAAGTGTAGCAGCAACTCCGTGGTCTCAGGCTGGTCATCTTGAGACATGACACACTGGGAGCATAATTGGAATGTGTGTTATTAATTTACAAAAACGCGAGCGTTACGTTTTGACAGCAGTAATATGTGATGTGTAGAGACAATCATGACCGACTAAGTGATGTGAATTAGGCCTCCCAAACCATAAGGCCTGGAGGTTTCATCTTCTTGGTTCTTTCAGGTAAAGTCACGTAGAATGGAAATAAAATAATAAAAATAAAATAATAAAATTCTCACTCCCGGAGTTTGTTGAAGGATCTTAAGGTTGTGTGGAATCCCTCCCCGTAGAGGTGGTTAAATTTCGATTTAAAGCTTTCGTGATTGCAGGGATTCATATTCTTGGTTCTTTCGGTAAAGTCTATGTGACTTTACCGAAAGATGAATCCCTGCAGCCTGGAGGTTTATTGGTTTTACTCAAAGCGCAGGGTCAGTGTCCAGTTCTAAAGTGCTTCAAGTCTCCAGATAAACACTTAAAAAGATGTGACCCTCATCATGAGTGAACCAAGTATTTGCCTTTTGTGAAATGCGATGCTAAAGCCAAAGAAAAGTGGTCAAAAGCTTTCACCAGCTCCAAGTACTACAATGATAATAATGACACAATAACAATCTTGATTTGAAGCTTTCGTGACTGCAGGCATCCATACTCTTTGGTTCTTTCGGTAAAGGCACGTAGTTAGAAATAAATTAAAATACAATTTAATTAAAATACAATTTAATTAAAATACAATTTAATTTATTTCTAACTACGTGACTTTACCGAAAGAACCAAAGAAATAAATTAAATTGTATTTTAATTTATTTCTTCTAACTACGTGACTTTACCGAAAGAACCAAAGAGTATGGACACAATAACACAATGCCCTTTATTATTAACAACAATGACTTGTTAATAACAAAAAAATTGTAAAATATATATATTTTTTTATATATAGTTTTAGTTTCTTAAGTATAAACGACAAGTCGGACAGACGGCCACGTGCGCACTTATTTATATTGTTTTAATGAATCTTTCACGTGCAATTGCGTGTGGAGAAAAACAAGACGCGCTGCAGGGAGCCGCTGCCATTAGCGTCATGTCACCACGAAGAGGCATGGGCACATCACGTGATGCGCGGAGGCGCGTAAAACAGCGTGAGCCTTCCTTCCATCTCCCTGCATTAGTGGGTGCATCTCTGTTTACTCTTTGGGTTGTCTCCTGTTAATGTGGCCTCTTCCTGCGTATTGTTTTCGTTGCCTCTTTCTGCCCCGCCTGTTCTCTCTTTCCCTCTGTTACGCTGCCCTTTTCCTCACCCTTATTTTGCTGCAATCTCTCCATTTTTTTTGTGGTCTAGCTCCCTCGTCTTATTATATTTCGATGAAAAAGCCGTTTGGCAACACGCTAAATTGGTAAGCGCGCATGCTAACAGAATTGGGATTACTGAATGCATTCATGAAAATTAGAAGAAAAAAATTATCGTCTTTATTTCTCCGAGTGATGAAAATCAAGGAATCACGGTAACTAAACTGACGGTCGGGTTGGACTGCGTTCGATGCCACCATTACCAAGGAGATATAAACATTGAGAACTCTTAATATCCATCGCATTTCATTTCCTGCACAAAACCTCACTGTGTTAGCTTACATTGCACCATTATACCACAATTGTACAATGCTATTATTTTTAAAGGAAAACATTAACTTTACACCATCCGACCTTTCTTTAATTACAGGGACAAAATTGGACTTGTAGTATGTACGATCTTAACCGAACAGACTGCCTCACAAGCATAAATACACCAACGACAGACTTGGCAATGTAAATTTTTACTTAAAACGACAAACGAAGTTAAAACAAGACAGGCTATTAATCTCAAAACATGATGATTGTTTAATCTCCATAAGAAACTGCTAATGTGGACATCAATGGAAAAAAAAAACTTGCCTAAGCTTCCCTGTTCTGACATGATGGATTGTCTACAAGACAAAAGGTCACACATGTATTCCATAATCTGTGCTTGCCTGTAATCCAATGCTCTCCCCATGCTCTCAAAGCTTCCAGCAAGCCGCGAGTAATTAACAGCTGCTGTGGCTCTTATCCCGTAAGAGCAGCCGAGCTCGCCCCCGCATGCGCAGGGCTTCCCGCTTTCCCCGTAAGCACGTGGAGACCACAATCTGCCACGCCCAATCGCGGATTACTGCCGCACGTCAACCGCCAGTGCCTCTTGCCCACAACACACAAAAAACTGGCAAAGGTGATCCAACACTGCCACGGCCGAGATATGACTGGCGATATGCACCCCCCCCCCCCTCTGCTGTGCAAGCACGGTCGGCACTCTAAATGCAATGCAGATCCCTGCAGAGCCAAGTGGGTAATTTTCACGGGTAGATTACTGTCAAGAGTTTGACGGGCCTTTCACTCTCTTGTTTTCGTCTACGTGGGTTTTGCGAAAATGAAGCAAAAAAAAACGGCGAATATTCTTGCTTCAATTGATGCTTTATTACTTTATTTTATTGCAGTACAGTTTAACGGTTAATTACTTTTCGAGAGAGGTGTAACGATGCCTCAGTTCATTGATGAATATCCATGATTAGACTCAGGATATGTGCAAGCCGAAGAATGTATATAGTGTATATTGTATGTAATGGGTTTACATATCTCCTCCCACCACTAAATTAATGATAAACCAATGTTACAAGATGGTATATTCTGTTAATTGTGACCCTGAATCACAATTGATCAACATTGTTGGATGAGCATGAATCAATTACACTTCTAGCTTTGACGGTAAACTTGAGGATCCAAGTTAAGTCTACAGTCTACATGTCTGCATAACACATTCAGTAATAAAAAAAAACGGAACATCTTCTCCTACACTAGGAATGTGATGCTTGACAAGCCTTACCAGCCTGGAGAATACTGGTGTCTGGTCTCCTCTGCTGCCCCCCTTAGTCTGAAGCTCGCTTCCCACAGCCATCTCCCCTGTCCATTCCCTGGCTGAAGACCTTATTTTCCTCTACCTCGTACTGACTGCCTCTTTCTCTAATGAAATGACTTGATACTGTACATTTTCTTTCCCCAGGTGGCACATTTTGCGCTGTTCTTGCATGGTGTCTTGAGATGTGCCTGTTTATGGACAATATATAAGTCCACATCGTGTTGCTCATTGAATATTATGCTACAAGTGGATTCATAACAAAGGCTTCTAACATATTATTTTCTTTGGCAGTGCACATAAAGAGTGAAATGTGCTCCGCCTGTATGGTATGGTTATAATGATGTGCTCCCAAAGTTTGGATTCATCTGAAAAATATGATAATTTGGCCTAGATACAATATTTTTTTATAATAGAAAAAAATATATTATTTCGGATTGTCCTCAAAATATGACGTCACCGGACGTGATGTCACTTCTATGACATAATTCCCAAGCTTTGGTCAGTAAAATCTGTGACGTGACATTGGGTGATGCATCTTTTGTTCACAGGTAAGAGCCAGTAAAATGTGCACACAATGTAAAAGATCAGAACATGCAAATATCTGGAGAAAACCCCCCCCCCCCAAAAAAAAAAATTGTGTTTAAAAAAAAAAAACTGAACATTTAAAAATCTACACACCGATATCCAAAAAAGGCTGTGTCCCCCTTCTACACCGAGTTGGTGCACTCACCCTGAACGATGAGGCGACCCTGAGCAGTGCGACGAACGCGTGTGCCTGGCCGGTTGGCGGCACACACGTACACACCGGCGTGCTGCACGGCTACGTCGGAAATCATTAGATTGCCAGTGCCCACCACCTGAATGCCCTCCACACCGATGGGGCGGCCGTCTGTCAGCGAAGAAGCACACGGCCGCGACAGAGGTGCAAAAAAGAACAGCATTGGCGTCACGAGAGAAAAAAAAACATATATACGTTGACAACGGATTATATGTAATAGCTGATAAAGATTCCAATTTGGAATATTCCACAACGGTCTTTCATTTGGCAAGTGCATTCATTTGGTTTTTTTTTTCCATTCAAAATAGGTGTGCATTAAAAATGATTCATTTTGCGATACCGTGATTTTTGAACTAGTGCTACCCACCTCACAACATGTGTCAGCAGGTACCACAAGCAATGTGCATGACAGTATTTGGGCAAATCAAATTGATACATTTCAATATATATTTTGCTTAACTCAAAATAATGCCCAGAGAAAAAAAAAACTAATTAAGTAACAACGCATATATTGTACATTTCAGAGATATGCTATATGTAAGTAAAAAAACTGTGCTATTAAGGTAACTCATAACCAAGTAAAACATCTGTTTCTATATTAAATAATGCAATTGAACTATATATATATTTATGATTGTCAAAGGAGAGTAAATAAAGCAAGAGAATAATGAAATTCACTGTTTCACATTAATTGTTAAATGCGAGCCCTGTGATGACAAAACGTGTAAATAATTGTTTTTAAAAAGTTATAGTATTTTACAAATCTTCGGGATACAATGTCCTTTAATTGTAACCACTGAGCGCCAGCACCAATCAAGTGAAATAAAAATGAAGGCATGCCAATTGCAACACCCTTTCACGTCCAATTGTTTTTTCTCTGTATTTCAGTTAATCAAGAATCAGGCTCCAGAAATGAAGGCAGAACACTCACGTCTTGAGAGTGAAGAGGTGACTGCGAGTGAGCATGCGGTTGGAAAGCCTATTAATGTGGGCGAATCCTAGCGCTACCTAAACAGTGCTGGGCAGTTGTGGCTTCTTAATGATTACGCAAAAAAGAAGCGGTAAAGACATTAAGGGGGAAGGGTGCCTATTAATAACAGGGATCTGTCATATTATTCCCACAGTGTGTCAGCAGGGGTTTATGGAAGCCTCCACTAATGATCAAAGCAAGTAATTGCAGTATGCATCAATCAGCCATCCATTTAAATTATGGCAGTTTCCGGCGCAACAATGAGAGCACTCCGAGCTCCCGGCAACGGTACTTAGTGAGCATCCTCGCCCCCGTACAGCAACGCTCTGAGTGCTTTCAATGCTCTTAAGGTAAACAAGAGGGTGCTTGCCTTTAATCTCGTCACCTTTGTCAAGGATAACGCTTCTCTCCATGTAACCTATTTTTACAGATGCATCATCGTCATCATCATCATCAGCCCTGGTCTAGCTACCGCTGGACGATGGCATCCACAAGTAGTCCCAAGCCCTAACGGTTTTGGCGAAGCACAAATCCACACATCTTCACTGTACAAGCCGATTTCATCGCTCTATCTCGACGGTGATTTCCCTCTCGGGTGTGTGTGTCCCTACTTTGGTTGCCACGCTGTCGGTAGTCCCGAAGTACATCTCTTAAGTCAACATGACATCTCTGCGTTCAATCTCTGATCCATGCGTTCCACTTTCTGACTATTAAATGCCAAGCATGCACATCTTCATGCTTTTTTGTGTGCTTTTCAGATTTTGTTTCATATTCTTTGTCAACGTCCATAGACGTGGTTTTCTTCTTACACGGCAACATTAATGATGTAGATGGTGAACTTTTAAATAATTTAAACTATGTGGTAGTTTGTTATGCTGGTCCTTTACAGCAATTGTCTTAATGTCTACACTTATATATTCAGACCGTGTTGATTATTATGCGTTGTGGGACAATTATCATTTGTCAAATTGAGGACCTGTCCTCTGGTGATGCCCCATCTGCTACCTTGCACACATTAGGAAACCAGCGGTTATGTTAATATTAGGCCCTTATATGTTGGCCTCAGGGTGGAGCAGTGGCACAGTAGTTTGCTCACTGTAGCTTGAGTTCAGTTACCATCCATGGCTAATATCAGTGGTGGGTGTCATTTCACCCCCTCCCCCTTCAATAACCTACACTGATAAGCATGATAAAGAACAGTCATGACCAACATGGTGTGAAGAGGCTTTATCCAGCGGTGAATTGACACAATGCTGAAAAGAATGACTCAATGTTGCCATTATATATATGAGCGAACAGAGTATGACCACTCCCTCAGTATAAACGTATTGAAAACACACACTAAACGAATATATTTACACACGAAATCTAGCTAATGTAACACAATGCCGAAAGGAGGGAAGAGGAAAGACCATACGCGTCAAGTCTCGTGAATTACGCATGAGACACGCATTTTTTTTTATATATATATACGGATTCTCACATTGTTTGTTGTTCACCTTAAAACGAATGCACTCAGCGCTATTTTTCGCAGTGTCTCACCGCATCTGCTCCCGAAGGTTGCAGCCTTGCGTAAGGGTCAGCTCTAAAAGCTGTTGCCTTCTTCACTTACAGCCTTTCTATGACAAACAAGTGGGAAACAAATGCCAACTATCCAAGTATATAATTGTTCATTTGCTAAAGGGGGGTTGTTCACTAAGTGGCGGACATTAGCCCACCGCTGCTACGCAAACTCACAGGTCCTCCTCGCCTTTGCTTCTGTGACACGCCCATTTGCAACATTGGAACCAAAGAAGCAACCTTTGATATATTGGACGAAACATTCAGGTAAAGAATGTTTATAAGTGATGTCCTTACACTCTATATAGCTGTATTTTACACTGTATTTTGAAAAACTGGAGGTGTCAGTCAATGACTAACACAGTTATAATATTCGTTATATATATTTTTTTATTATTGATGTATTTTTCCTATTTAGTTTTACCATAATGGACAACATTGTGGCATCAGAACCAAGAGAACAATCTGCTTTCTGCCCTCTTTGTAGATGGGATGTGAAAATGGCAGCATGAGGCGTGTATAACCTGACTGCACTTCAGGACAAAACCACCGTGACAATTGTTGACCCTGCTGTGAGGCGCACGTTCTTTGGGCAGAGGCTTTGCATTTAATATTTACTCAAATGTAAAGTATGATTTGTTCAGTTTTTGCATGTATAATTGGTTGTGAAAATGTCCATTATTTATTTTCACCAAGATTTAGTTTTTAAGTAGCGGTCTCACTTTATTTCAACCCTTTGTGGTTGCCTGTATATTTGGAGTTTGCATGTTCTTTTCGTGGCTGCGTGGATTTTTCCCTCCACATTTATAATTAACATGAGTATTTGGCTGCTCTAAATGTCACGTGATGATAAGCTACCTCGTGGCCAGGTCACATCTGAAAAAAACTCAATTACTCAGTATGCCTTACCAGGCAAAATAAAAAATAGTTTAGCATTTTTGTTTTGTTTCGATAGATGTTGCCGCTGCTCACCCAGCCGGCTCCAGGACACAATGGGCCGGGGGTTCCCTGTGGCGATACACTCCAGGATGGCAGTCTGGTGCACCGTCAGCGTGAGGTTCTGAGGGCCTGACAGGATCACGGGGTCCTTGGACGACTTCGCTGGAACTGCCGCTGAAAAAGAAACAAAAACATCACTGACATTTAGTCTCGTCGCAAAGGAATGCAAGAACCTGCTGGATGCCACACAGAGTAGCATGTTGCAAAATCCAATATTCAAGTAACTGCCTGGGGATATAAATCATTTTATATGGAACATAAGCTCTGTGTTCTCTGCAAGCTCAAAAGTTTTTGCACGAAATGATAACAAGCGTTGTTACTTCATTAAATGTATAAATAAGTGAAAGTAAAAAAACAGGCCTCGCTTATGTTATCTCCTTTTCCAGCGCTAAGGTGAATGACCTTGTGATCCTGTAGGGACTGTGAATGTGAGTGCCGAGGTCCCTTAGGGCCTGTGGTCTTTGTGAAACCCAGTCTCACAATATTGGAGTGATGCCGCATTAGGAGGGTGGACTCTTGCTCCGGCTGTGCGAAGAAGTGGTTTGGTTGGGATTATTTTATTGTTGCCTCATCATTCTTGCAGTGACAGTTCACATAAAAGAGGGTGAAGTCACCCCTTTTATTTTAATTGTGCACGATTTTACATGGGAACGACCTACATTTCAAGCCTGCAGGAAAATGTCTTACCCTGGACTGTAATACACAAATTTACAGCATGTGAACTGCGCTGTCTGTGTGGGCTACATACACAGCCTACTGTCCATGACACAGTAATGAAATTAGCTCATATTCTTAGCTCTTTCGGTAAAGTCACGTTGAAGGGAAACAATAAATAAAATAATAAAATATATATTTTATTGTTTCCCTTCAACGTGACTTTACCGAAAGAGCTAAGAATATGAATTACTGCAGTCACGAATGCTTTAAATCAAAATTAGCTCATGTTTGAGGGAATTCTCAGATAAGAGAAATTGTTCTTGGATAATATCAAATCCTTGTTTATGTCACTGGTTTACTCTGTAGCACATGGCAAGCAAATTGGTCATATATGGCACATTATGCAGGAAAATCCGAGAATATTCTGTCCTTTAGTTTTATTTTAAATTCATACAAATTGTTGCAAATAATGAGTATGAATAATTAATACATATTTAGTTCATATCCACTGATCGTGACGAAATGAGCACTGCCGCGGTCAAATCTCATGAGACCCACAGTCCCTAAGAGACCTGGGATATCACGAGATGAACCTGCTCGTGGTTATTACTCATGGTTACAGCGGGAAATACTCTTGTCCCGCTTGGCCCACAGTGGCACAGAGTGGAGCAATTATTGCTCCAACCTGTCTGTCTTGCTAGTCAGATAAAGAAAGAGCATGCCTTGCCCTTAAAGGAATAAAATGAAATTGGCCAATGTCACCCACTTTTATTCTAATAGTTTTTCAACGCGGAGATTACGTCGGGTTTAATAGTGATGGGTGCTTCACCGCGCGCAAAACAGAGAGGCAGCACATGGTGCAACGGTTATGTTGCAGCCACGGGACGTTGATTTATCCGTATCCATTGCATCTAGCATGGACTTACAGCCAGATTGTGCAGATAAATGTTTTAAAAACAACACATGCGGACGAGATGTGTCAATAATCTGGGTAAAATTACTGTTTAGCATCAGATTACCCTGTGGAACGATGAAGTATCGGGCATACAACCTTTATTGGTACCCTCAGAGTATTCTTATATGGCCCCTAAGCTCCAGCAGCCATGACATTTCTTTCACAATAATTAGTTTTTTTGGTATATAGGATGTAATCTTGCCTGCCTGAGGTGGTCACTCTGGGAATGACATTGTTGGCCCTGTTGTATAATTCCCAGGACCTACAGGTCACAGATTGATCCATCCCAATGTTCCTGATAATTAGCTAGCATCCCTTCCAGAAGAATGTTGAGATGGATTGAGGAGAGGCCGATTCCAGGCGTAGTCAGTTGGCTTTCTTTTCCTGAGGGCTCGGTGACATGTTTAAGTTGACTATTGGTAAGTGCCTCAGTGTCTAAAACAACCTCATTAATAGCTCATCCTCTGGATGCAACGAAATTCAGGACAGATGGGCAATTTTCTTACAAATGTATTTTGTTACAGTGTGCAAAGGAGCTGGAATGTAAAGTCTGACTAGTTGCACTGAGATTACACAAGAAACTGAGACTGTGTGTCTGTCACGTGACTTTGACAACTAGGCTTGTAGCATCTCATATTCCAAAAGTGGACATACACTCACAAGAATGTATTCACAGCCACATAGCAAGATGGAGGATATCCATTTCACTCACATAATAGCCACATATCAAGTCTGTTATAATTACATTTAAAAAATGTCCTCTGTGCCTTCTGCGTGTAAGGTGCTTTGCAGACAAAACATTCTACTCTGAAGATCGGTGGCGATCGAGAAGGTAACTGTTTTGCGGTTTTGATATCAAGGTCACAAATGGGTTTTTGTTGTTTCGTTTTTATCCATCACCCAATTTATCTAAAAATCCTCAGGGGTCTGAAGATAACAGCTTTAACCGTGGATCTGCAGGCCAGTGTGGATTAAAACATTTGCATATGTGAGAGTTATTAAGAATAATACATCTACTGCATACATTGTAGATGCATGGGATTGAGAAAAAAAACTGGAATGAATAAGTAAAAAAACTAAAAGGGTATTTTTTGTAGTAATTCCACTCGGCATATAACATTGCATCCAACGCTTACGTGTGACCGTGAGAAGGGCATCCATGCTTCGTCTCCGTCCTGCCACATTGCTGGCTATGCAACGGAAGTAACCAGAGTCCTCTGGCCGAACACCTGTGATCTGCAGGACTCCAGAAGGTAAAAATGTGTACCTGTCCACAACAAAGAGCAGCCAGGCCACACACAGCTTTACTTTCAGCAACAACGTTTACACATTTCACCATCGTGAATCACTGTCGATGAGAACACATGTCTGCAATACCTACTTGCACACATCTGAAGGATTTTAGCTGAAATAACACCTTAGGAAATGGATTTCAGCTTTAAACCAGGCACATCACTCGGCTAACAATCTCAATGTTCAGCGGTAATCTATAGCACTGTTTTATGTTGAATTAGGGGAGCCCTTCTGAAATCAGGCCAGCCATTTAAGAGCAAGTTATCAAATGACATGAAACGAGGAATGTGGGCTTCATAGTTCACACACGTTGGTGCAAAATGACGTGAAAAGAACACTTTTCAGCAGAAATTCTCCCTATTGGCTCCGCTATGCGTTGAGAGCAGATTGATCACCTGTCGTCATCTTCTGTCAGAGCTGTACGGTTTTTCTCCCAGGTGACGAGCGGGTCCGGCCGGGCGTTGATGAGGCATTGGAAGCGGGCCACGCCACCTTCCTCCACTACAACCGGCTGTGGGTGCTGGCTGAACCGCGGCAGTGCTGAAACGATAGAAAAAAAATGAAAGGAAATCAGAGACCTCTGTCAGCAACGTATCCAGAAAATGCCTTCTTACGTGGAACACCAGAGCAATCAGCCGTTAATGGTTTGCTGACAGACAGTCTATAGAGACAAATCCCTCTGTTCCTATAATCTCACTTTGCAATAGGTCAAATATTCCAAATGTAATAGATTTGAGACATGTAAAAAAATGGAATTAAGATTTCAATTGAGCATGCGCCGTAATTTTTGTTAAGCCATTTTCAAATGTATCCTATCTTCCAATGGGGTTGACAGTGTCGTGAACAAACCTGTATTTGCTGGGTACAATAGACTTTAATTACACACTACAGTGATTTTGGATTGGAATTGAAAAAAACATAATAAGAACCATACATCTTGTAAGCCATTTGTATGTGTGCTGTGTAAGAAACTACCAGTATTACATTTGTAGTTATTACTTTAAATATAGCAGTGCAGTATTACATAAATTGCAGTCTTTTTCTGTTGGCTGAATTATTTTTTACAAAACGAATAATTTAATCTAAAAGTATTGTAAAATAATGAACATTATAAACCATTACATATAATAGAGGATGTAACATCCGATGAATGGCTTGTTTTAGTCATGTATCACCTTAATACTGCTCATATTATAACCATTGCCAGCAACTGAATATGCACTACCAAAATCCATGCGTTTACTTCTATAACCACATCAAAATGATGATCGTAATCATTATTATTCCATAATCACCGCCACTATTATTATCATCACCATTATGATCACTACAATCAATAGCAGCCATGCAAAGAAGCATGGCGAAGCGTGGAGCCGTGCATGCCTAGAATTACACTGAGAGACAGAAAGTGGAACAAATGTATAGAATAACAATTGCAAATCGTGGGCATGGGCAGAGATGATGCCCGATACACCTTTCTAGATGAGATAACGGCCAACGAATTATTGGTAACAGGATGGCAGCCAAAAGATAAAAACATGCCAACGAGGATGACTACCACAGAAATGAAGCAGTGAGATTAACTCATTTACAGGAGTGAGCGGGACGTGGGATGGTAATGGCATTGGAATGCCATCATCCAACAGGGGATGTCTGATGATGATATCACCATCATGGTTAATAATATCACCATGACAACCACCATAATAAGCACCACTATCATCACAGCTACTACCTTCATCACTAGACAGGTGAAGATTTCCTCCCGCATGATTCAATAGATTTTTACAATTCGACTCAACAATCGTTGTTTTGGTGAAAGAAGCCCCTCTAAATTGCTGCTGGAGTTACATTCACCAATTATGCTTTGCCTAAAATTTTTGCATGCACAATTTGAAGCAGGTATCGTGAGAATTCAGAATCGATAACTCAATGCACCGTTAAAACCTATTCACCATTGTTATTGGACTGGGCAATTTCCCCAATCCATAGGATGGAACTGCAATTCAACTCTTGTAATGGAATGTGATTTGATGGGTTTTTGGCAATTTTTTTTCCAGTTTGAGCTATAGCCATCATGTCGCAGATCAAGAATATATTCAGAAATGTTGCAGAGAAGTGCATGGGCATGCAGACGGAAATGACCGTGGAAGGCATTTTTCACCGGAATTTTGGTAAAGACTTCGTGACCAATTCTAGATTTAAAGCTTTCGTGACTGCTAGGATCCATACTCTTTGGTTCTATTGGGTAAAGTCACGTAGGTGAAAATAAAATAACAAAAAATCACGACGTTTCGGCCACAACACAAGCCGCCTTCATCAGGTGAAGGGATGAGACTGTCTCGTCCTTTCACCTGATGAAGGCCGCTTGTGTTGTGGCCGAAACGTCGTGATGAGACTGTCTCGTCCTTTCACCTGATGAAGGCCGCTTGTGTTGTGGCCGAAACGTCGTGATTTTTTGTTATTTTATTTTCACTTCGTGACCATTTTATACTTTTCCCCGCAGAGATCGCACTTCCCTGTACACTGCTATGAGACAGATGAATGAACCCATTAAGGAATCAAAGCATTGTTATATATTACCAGTATTTTCCGAAAGGGATCTCCAAAGTGTGCTTTCTAATGAACAAGACAGTCACCGCGTCGCACACTTTCAGATGCGCTTTTGCGGCCGTCTAGAACGTTGTTTCATCCGACATTAGGAGGCCACTGGTGGTCTGCACTTTTAAATCTAGACTGAAAACTCATGTCTTGAGAACTGCTTTTTGTGTTTAGTTTGTTGTCCTTCCCCCACACCTTCGATTAGCACGGTTAGCTATGCAGGGTGCGAAAGAAGTTCAACATACGTGCAACTGAAATTTACACTAAAATTCCATTAATTGGAATCACCACTGAAATTAATGATTCCTGCATCTGCACTCAAATGAATGGGATTATTTGACAGCTTAAGTGGAATCCCAATGGAGGCACAGGATTCAGAATTAAAATGAACAGATCTTCTATAGACGATTTCTAGGCTGTATACATTTCATCCACACACAGCAAGCCATTGATATTGGCCAAAGTGAGGTCAAAGGGATGATCCAGTAAATCAGAGTTGCCTCTAGTTCAATTAAGTGAATTCCAGATCACTTTTCGAACCAGATATTGTTTAATTTATTACAGACGAAACATTGGCCATAAAGACTGCAAATGATAATGGGTGGCTTGAAAATGACCACATTTAAAGTCACGTACCCATTTCGAGAAATGACCGAGCCTCAATAAGAGACGCACAAAACGATATTATACGTGGGGATTATAGACCGGCAATATTATTACCTGAAAATTTCAATACACTACGCTGGGCAAGTGTGCTTTTCTTCACATGCAGCCGCCATGCCCCCCCCCTATGCTAAGTAGGATTTAGAGGTGGTGTTCTAACGTGATCAGCCGCGTGCGGTCGCAAACCCCCACGGGTGGAGCTGGCTGGCTGCCCATCTGCCCCTGCCCTCTCTCCCCACCCCGCCTACACGCAGCCGGCCACGCGCTGCCGAAACGCAATCGTGGGGATTCCCTCGCCCGCCTTGGCGGCCATCCAAACCGCATCCAACCCCGCGGCTGCTGCCGCGCTACAGGGATGCGTCCACGCGCACTGACACGCGCTGGGCCAGACGTGACAGTAGTGTAACATTCACACCCCCCCCCAATACCAATAAAGGATGCCACGGTGACAAAGACGACGACCCCCCACTCCCCCCCCCCCCGTGTATAGCCATTACATACTTGTTGGGGCAAGTGCTGTTGGTGAGAGCCACAGATGAACCACGATACCTTGCCGATCTTGTCAAAGTGCATAAACCATCAATCACGTGAACTCCGGTCATCCTCGGCGGCGGCTTTTGGCTGGCCATCGAACAAAGGCGGGTCCACTGCATCGCGCGCTTTCAGATGCGCTTCTGAGACCATCGAGAGCGCTTCTTCTTTCCCATATGAGGAAGCCACGGGAGCTATGAACCCTTTTTTTTTATTCCAGATTGAAAACCCATTTATTTTTTACTGCTTTTTTTGCGTTTACTTTGTTGTCCTTCCCCGCACCTCCGCTTAGTGCGGTTGGCAAACGTACGGTGTGAAAGAAGTTCAACATACAACACGGCACACGAGGGGGTGGGTGGCCAGCGCCACGCCCGGTCACGCTTTGTCTCCACTAAGTGGCGATGTTTTACACACTGCACCAGGTACTAATGTGAGGCTGAGTCGACCTAGGGGAGGCCTAGGCTCAGTTTAGAGACAATCGTCACCGGTGTTGGTTGATCGTGAGTGGAAATCGAACTCAGGTTGCCGAGTTCGTAGCGCAGTGAGCTAACCGCTGCTCCACCGCTCCCCCAGGGTTCCACGTCCAGCGCACATATACACAATGCTCAGCAAATGCAATGACGAGCCTATTTTCAGAGTAGACCGACAAGTGTGCAATTAGTCAAAGGGCGATTTATTAAGTTATATCATTTACATATACTGTACACCAATTAATGGCCTTGACATTTATATCCTTTGAAAGTTAATGATTCTAATTAAATGTTGCATGTGTAGCAATTTTAGGTGGGCACATGTGTACAACGGTGGCCCAAATTAAATCTCAGCATAAATGTGGCCGAGCACTTTTCCGCAACAAAACATTAATGAGTACGTAACAGAAGCATGAGGTGGTAACAATGTATCCTTAGAGATAATTAAATCATGAAATGCCGACAATGCCTTGCTGAAAAAAAGAAATAAACCTTCCCTGGAATTTAAGTATCTCACAGGTGCAAAACAACAGAATGGATTTTCCCTGCCTCCTCAAACCATACCCGCTGTGGATTTGATCTCTCTTAGAGCTTACCTTCACCTGTACCGAACATTTCCTGCCGCTTCTCGCTCTTATGTCGCTCTCATGTTACATTCGCACTTATTTTTGTTACATTCTTGTGTTTCGTTTACTAATACCTCATTGATGTGGATTATTCCTTAATGTATACTCGTTCACTGCAATACTCCTGTTTATGCATTTGTTTTTGTCGTCCCTTATAGAATTGCCGGGCAACTAGCTAAATGGGGTCATCCGTGTAACAAATAAATAAACCTAGGCGCAACAAAAATTAAACTGTATGCATGAAGAGTGTGGGAATCACCTTTGTGCAATATCTCTCTAAACGGTGCTAAGTAATAGCGACTGAAGCCAGATAAAACATGAGCAGTCTGTGTCAACTGTGTGCAGTAAAGATAAACTAATTCATTGGCATGTGACCAACATCTGAAGAAAAATGCCTGGGTTGTGTAATTGTAATTCTATAGCTACATTAACATTCACAACTGCATGTTCAGCTTCATAATAGTATAAAAAATTTAAATGTAATCGAATAACATATTCTACATAATGGTGAGAAAATACTGGACAAGGGACTTGTGCCAGCAGGGGGCAAGATAAACACTTCTTGAGCATTAAATTTCGATTTAAAGCTTTCGTGACTGCAGGGATTAATATTATTGGTTCTTTCGGTAAAGTCACGTAGAAGGGAAAT